TAGGTCCAAGATATCCATGATATCTCGCGTCTTGAACCAGTCTCTCCATGATTGCGGCAAGATATGGGAGTAGAGATCAGGTGAGCGAGTGTAGAAGTCCAGTATGTGAACGCCTCCGCAGAGCGTTTGAAGTAGCCATGAGGAAGTAGTCAAATTGAGCAGCGACTCGACGTATTCCTCAGTATTAGTGAATTCGGCAGGAAGTGGAAGACTCGTTTCCGGACCCATGCTTTCATCCAGGGTCTTTTAGACGGATGGTGTGATTTTGTGAAATCGGCAGTCTTGGTGAGGGATGCGCCATCGGGAAGGCGTGGTGGAGTTGACTGTGCTGTGGGCGATATTTTTTAGGAAGGTGGGTCCGTGCCGAGGTGTCGTGGCGCGTCATCGCTCGTACTGGACAGCTTATCGACACGCTCCAACATCCTCACCCCAAGCTTCCACACGCCCCTCTTGCTTGCTGGCCACAATCTGGAGGTGCAATTCGCGTCGCATAGCCCAGGATGATGTCATCACAGACCGACGAGGATCCCTTCCTCCAGGTGCAGGCGTAAGAAGTCCCCGTTCGCGTTTAGGCATCTTCATTGACACTTGTCCCAGAGACGTGCTTTCCGCCCTTAACACCGCGCGCCCGCTATTCAAGTCGTATCTGCGTATTCGCTCCTCGGCATCGTCGGCAAACAGTCCTGAGCTCCGTGAAGCCCGCAGCGAACTTGAACAGACACTCCAAGACCTCAGCCAGGATCTCGAGGATCTAGTGGAGAGCGTCAAGGCTGTGGAGCATGACCCCTATCGCTTCGGTCTTGAGATTGACGAAGTCGAGCGCCGCAGAACACTGGTCAAGGATGTCGGCTCCGAGATTGAGCACATGCGCGAGGAACTGCAGGAGACGGTCCAACACGCGAAGAACAAAGGCAAGATCGCAGCCAATGGCGATGTTCTACCTGACCCAGATTCCTTCGAAGACGACGACAACTACGCGGCATTTGAGCAGGAAAGACAGATGGAGATGATGCACGAGCAGGACGAAGCCCTCGATGGCGTCTTCCGTACCGTCGGCAACCTCCGACAACAGGCCGACGATATGGGTCGAGAGCTCGAAGAGCAGGGCGAACTGCTCACCGACGTCGACAATGTGGCAGACAGAGTTGGTGGCAAGCTGCAGACAGGCCTCAAGAAGGTTGGCTGGGTCATCAAGCAGAACGAAGGTAAGATACTTGGCCATCGCTGGACAGGCATTGCTGACCTATCCCCCTAGACACATGGTCCAGTTGCTGCATCGGCGTTCTTATCTTCGTCCTCATTCTCCTCCTCGTGCTGCTCTTGTTCCTATGAGCACGCAGAAATACCCACGCCAACCTCAGACACACACGGAAGCCGCGTTCCCGAGCCCTAGCGCCGAAACATCAGCGCCGTTCATCATACACCCTTTGGTGCTGAAGAGACTGGTCGATCGCCAGGGACCAACATACCCGCAGTTTGTGATTTCGTTGAAGCGAGGATCATCTTCGCCGCTGCATAGCTGACGGTGCACTTGTAACGAAAGCACTAGCCTTCGTCTCAATTTTGCCGGAGCCCGGCTGTTGGCTTGCACTGCCGGTGCTACTGTGCGGCAACTTATCTGGGGTATCCATCCCTCATTAGCGCCCTTGCATGAATGCATTGCGTATGCAATGAGGGTGTTGCCCGACAACGAACACCCTACACCGCTTGCGCGATCGACTCGAACTTGTTCACAATGCGAAATGCAACACAGAAAGCAAGCGAGCCTTGAGGGAATGCGACATACAGCGGGTTGTCCCAAGTGCGTCATGGATCCAGGAAGTCTCCATATTCCAATAACTACCTCCTCAGTGTCTGGTTGTGCACGAGGCTTTACTCATTATGATGAACACACCGAAACTGAGGATAGAACTGGAAAGCAGGAACAGAACAGCCGCTCAACGCACATAGCGCTGCTTCTGAGACGCTGCATGTTTGGGACGTACAGGCTCTATCCAAGAATCTTCCTGAGAACCATCGTCGACATTGCTTCTTATTAAGCCATTCCATACCTAGAAATTGCCTTGACTAGGCATTTTCAGCATTCAATTAATGTGTTCACGATAACAACTCTGCGTTCGCCTCGCTTGCGGATCGTCAATTTCCGGATGACTAAAGCAGACAGCAGAAACAGTCGCCCTGAACAGCCGTCCGCCAAGCCCGAGTCCAAAACGATTCAAATCAACACCAGAACCTCGCGGCGAAAACCCACTCTCATTTTCATTACGCTCCTGCTTAACGCACTGTTCTGGAGTGCTCTTATCTGTTTTGCCACCTCACTGTATCAGATCGTGTCTGATCCGTGGGATGCAACGAACATCATACCAGTGGTCTTGAACTTGACTTCTGTATGTGCTTGGAATCCTGCAATCAAGGCCAACAGTGACTAAATCGCCCAGGCTCTCGCAACAATTGCGTACACTTGCGTCCACACCGTATTCTCTTTCAAGCAGAAGGTTTGGGAAGAACAACGGCGACACACGTCCGCTGTCAGGAAGACTTCCTATGTTGCCATCCGTCTAGTGATCTCGCTATGTGTTTTCTGGTTACTAACCTCTGGATGGAACATGGTTCTCGTCGCAAGGAGACCTATTTGTTTGCAACAGGCACCCGGCCTTCAAAGCTGGGAATCTGGCTCCACTTGCTTATGTGGACGTGTTGGGACCACTTTCGCCGCCATTTCGCTGTATGCTAAGCCAGTCTGTGAATTTGACGCCAAAGCTGACTAGTCAATCAGGATTGCGTCTTTTGTTCTGTTTGGCGTACTCGCCGTCGTCAACCGTCCTTTCGAAGCTCATTTATTCAAGCACGGTTACCGAGAACCTGCAAACGCATGGCTTCCGCCACACTCTTCCAATAGGTCAACGATCACCGGAGATCGCAAATGTACGTGTGAGAAGCACACCTACTGCCGTCATATCACGCCAACACGGAGGAGCAGCTCATCCAACCCGATGGAACAAAGCAGAAGAATCTCATCAGGATCCAGAGTCTTTACTTCGCATCATGCCCCGCCACCTATACCCTCCGCTTTTATGGCCTCGTATCGTAAATCCTCTTTCGATACTTTACCTTCTGCATCACAGTCCTCTGCCAACCGAGGAGCCTTGAATCGCCCGCCTCTTTCGTCGCGTTCAGCAAGCAAATGCGACTCCGGACCTCTGTTCACGCAGGCTCGGTATTCGGCATCTACATGGCGCGCCGTTCATCCAGAGGGCTCGGATTTCACACTAAATGCATCGCGCCCGCGCCCTTATTCACGCGATCTTGATCTTCGTCATAGCATCCGATACTCACATTCCTCGATGTCCCTCACTCGTCCAAGCCGCCTGAGCTCTCTGAGCACTGTTTCGCGAAGTGGCTCTAATGGTTCCAACAGCCGGCATCACACCTTCGGAGTTCCTGATCACGGCGAAATAGCCAGTCCCGATGAGATCGCGTATGCTATCACAAAGGGAACGCCCATACCTGGCACTGAACGTGTCAGAGGTCTTGGCAGACACCACATCCGCTCAGGCAGTGCCCCGGATTATACATCCCCTTCTCAGCAGAAGCCTGGCTTCGTTTTCGAGGCGATTGTCGTCACTCGAAAACCGGTGCCGGTTCGGCGATTGAGATCTGCGGACCGTGTGCGGGCCTCAAGTACTTCCAATTCCGAAGCTGAGAGATACATGGTTAGCCTAGGGCTTGGAAACTTCCAGCACCCTAATGACCGATCGGAATATACTGAATTGGGCATGAGTAGACGGATGACGTTTGAGGAAGTGAAGAACAAGCCCTTGCCGAAGATTGCCGTCTTCTAGCAACGAGCTTAACCCAACCTTCGACTGCAATCCAACTATGCGAAAATCATTAAACTCAAGACCATTAGTAGTTCTACACACGCTCTTCCACAGACCGTTTCATGGGTGTAAAATAAGCAGAGCGCTCGCTAGCAGCAAAAGCAAGCGAACGTTCGCTCAGAGAGGTCCTGGCGGAATACAAACGGTGGGACGGGCCGTCTGTGCGTCTCCCAGTTCGCATCCCACGCGAATCACTGATCACTGCTGATGGGCTGCTGTTGGTCGCCCGTGGGATCAGCAGCGCCACCCGTCAGCTTACAGCGGACAGCGGGTGACTGACTTGCTATAAGGCGACCGAAGTATCCTCACTGGCTGTATGCATAAACGTCAGCGATACATCTAGAATGCCGCTTGGGCGTGACTCGTCACCACCAACATTGACCGTCTACAATTGTTCTGGACTGGTGGATCCCGTCGGAAAACTCTGCTCCTGTTCACGGGATCAACTCTCTGGCTTCCTGACATATATTGGGAGAAGACATTATTCCAGCACTGGTCTGGCATGCTTGAAACCGTGTCACCTCTTAACAGATATGTACGCTCACAAACGCGCAAGATATAAGCATATTCATAAGGAGCCGGTCTTGACCGCTATACAAGCTTGCGAATAGACCACACATTCAGCAGATTAGGGAAAGGAATAGCTCGATATTAAACGAAATCTGGCCTAGCACGGGCTCACACACGACTTATTGCACCATCTGCTATACACGCATGTGCCAACACCCATGGCTTTTACGCCAGTGTGCTGAGTACAGCCAACAACCAGTCGACAAAACCTCAACACTTGGCAGCTTATCTCACCTTTGCGAAGGCATCAGCAAGGTCTTCTACCATGAATCATCTATGGCCTACCCGGAAAAGGCATGCGCCACCAACTAGGGCGACTGGAAAGATTTCGAGAGCAGAGCTTCTGTGACACATGATGAGAATAAAGAGGCTTGCTATACGTAACAAGGGCAACTTAGAGACAGTATGCTGAGGCTATCAGAACGTATGGGTGCATCGCTTTCATGCTATAAAGCAGAGCTCGACTGCTGTCTAGAAAGATCACAACATTACAGTCAAACATCTATTCGATCAAACATACTATCTTGTTCCAGTACCCGAAACGCAAAGATGCAGCTTACAGTCCTCGCCTCTCTTCTTGCCTCTGTGGCTATGACCGCCAGTGCCGCACCTTCCACCGGCATTGAGGCCCGTCAGGGAGTTCCCCGAGTCCGCGCCACTTGTAAGTGACAACATTGCGCAATACAAAACATACGGAACACGTATTGACGTTATACTCATTCCAGTCTACCGTGACCAAGAATGCGGCCGCGACGGCCGGCCTTATGCCGATGACTTCGTCCCACTCCAAAACACCACCGCCACCGGCCTGAGCACGTGCATGAATTTCCCCCCCTCGTTCAACTACCCTAGCACATTCTTTAACGAGACCATGCTCACGAGGACACGTAAGTTTTAGTTGCATGCTAACAAACTTTGGGTTCACATGAGCTGACCAATTGCGTGTAGTCCGTTTCTATGATCTTCCTTGCGAGCAACTTACCGACGTTGGCAGTGGACATCACATCGATATCGCGCCTGGCTTCATGCCTGGTTGCCAGAACTTGACACTCAAGTCTTATGTCACTTTGTAGATGTTATAGCTGACGAGGGGTCTGCTGGTGGACAGATCGAGGAAGGCTTTGTCATGTAGTAATGCGATGTAGTGTGAGTCGGGTCCAACACTCCGGCTCACATCACACGTCATTCAGAACCTTTCCGCAAATTCCTACGCTTTTCTAGTCACTCATTTATAAAAATACAGAATATGGAGCAATCCAACATCGAAGACTATGACACTATTTCGCCGAGTTGTTCATTACTAGTGTTTCCAGTATACCCATCGGAAAGTCCTGATGAAGAAACTGTAGAAGGTGTGTAAGATTGCGTGGGGTCACGGGTAGGCGGAACGTACTACATGCATGCAGTCACTCTGCACGTGAACTTATATGCATGCATGCGACCGGCTTACCTGCAAGATCGCATCGAAGCACCAGATCGAGATGTTTTCAGAGCCATGTCATTTCACGAACTGTTAAGACCGCAAGACTCGAAATTGGGGAACACGGGGCAAGCGGCGTCACGAGCTTACAAAATTGGCATCAATGTAAGCAAAACGTACGTAGTGTGTCCCGATTGGAGTCATAACGCAACAAACACCTAGAATTTGGCCTCAAGTCGGAGTCTACGGATGGGGATCTTGACATCACTTCCTCGTATACTCTTACTCGCCAATAGGCACCAACGTAAGATTTTTCGTGTCATGTTGCCCTTAAGGCTATGGAACAGTCTCGGAATACTCTGGCCACTCAATGAAAACATCGCAACAGTGGCAGGTGTCCTCGAAACGGCCAACGTCGACTGGGCGATGTAAGCCACCAACCGCACGATCCGCGTCGCCCTTCATACCAGAGTTGGTGGAGCAATTCTGTGCGTAACAGCAGATTGGCTTACTTTTGTTGGATGAGAGTACATCGCGGAGACATATAAAGCAAGCATGGTACACCGTTCTCTATCTCACCACAACATCTCATCTCATCTCATCTCCCTCTTTCCACATTCATCTATCCATTCATACCCCCAGCAAACCCATATCCAAACTTCAACATGCAGCTCACCACTCTCATCACTCTGTTCGCCACTGCCATCGCCGTAAGCGCGACACCCGTCGAATTAGAGGAGAAGCGTCAGCTCGAAGGCGCTCCTCGCGTCTACGCCCGCTTCTTCCGCGACAACGGTTGCGGGCCCACTCCATGGGCTGAAGATACTGTCTTCTTGCAGTCCGAGACTGTGGGACTGGCTGGATGCCAGGATCTGACTGTTGGGCCTTTCGCCAGCACCAGTTTTGACATCAACAACTTCAGCAGGACTGGTAGGTGAAACTTCATGATTACTAGGAGGCTATAAGAGCTTCGCTAATGATGAGAGTAGTGAGGTTCTTCAACTTGCCTTGCTCTCAGCTCACGTCTACTACGAGCGGGAACTTTGTCGATATCGCTCCCGGCCAGGCTCCCAGCTGTAAGAACTTGGCTATCCGGTCCTGGGTCACCATCTAAATGGCATCCCGTCGTATGACAATGGCTCTATATCTGCTGAAAAGGTCAAAATATCACAGTGGGTCTAAAGTATCTGGTCTAGTCGTGAAGATGGAGGAGTTGAGTGGTGTAAGGAGAAATGTGAGATGAGTCGGGTCCAACACTCCGGTCTCGTCTTGCGGGTGTTATTTCATAGTCTTCTTGTCGCTCTTTTAGTAAGAATATAAGATTTTTGGGACGCACCCGTGTATACTTGCACAATATCTACCGTTGCAGCTTACGTGCACGCGAAGTCTGACGCCAGCCTTTAGATACATTCTCGTAGAAGACGTCGTGAGTCTACTAGCACACACGCAGTTTTGCAGGAAAGCTTCAAGCGCAGTCGTATTGGGAGGTCTTGTAAGCACGGGGTCAGAATCTAGCAACTCGAGTATGTGTACAGAGACGGCAGTCGCGCTAGTATACACGTAGCGGTGACGTAGCAGCAGGCTAAAGATGGACCATCAGGCCACGAGTTGACTAGAAACCAACGCAACTTCCCTCTTGAGCTCCCGCAATGCGTCAATGCTGCCAGACAAGACCTCGGGAATTTGCGCATCCCTGTCCTGACCGGAAACTGATCACGGCGTCAGCAACAACACACCGACGAGAAAGAGCATTTGAAGCACGAGCTCATATCAAAACTCTACTATCATAACTTATAGCCCATTCAGTAACGATTCAGATCCACACGGCATCATTTCCATTACTGAAACGGTCGTCTTGGGCGATGGCTTACTATCATGCGTCTGACCTCACCAAGCCCTTCACGACAACAGATTTGGACGTGACCAGGGCGAGTAGAATATACGGTTGGAGAGTTGATTCAGAGGATATGGTGAGAGATGATCCATAGAGCATGTCGCGTATAGGTACAGCGGAGATAGTCCTACCGCCAGATGGGTATAAAGGAGGCCTGTTCTGGCATTCATGATTCTTTACCACTACATCTATCGCAATTACATTCAAACAATTCCAATACTACAAGCCAAAAGAACTCAAAACATCATCAAAATGCAGCTCACCACTATCGCTGCCTTCCTTGCGGCCGCCGCTAGTGCCGCTCCTGGTACACTGTCTCCACGGGCATCTGGAAGCGTGCGCGCACGTTTCTATAGCGATGGCGGCTGCGGTAGCAACGGCAATGATATAGCTCAAGCTGAGTTGATCCTCACGTCAACCAATGTTACAGGCAAGGCAGGATGTCGGGACTTGACCATCGGGCCATACCCTGCTGTATTCTTCGATCAGAGCACTCTGGATTCAAACACAAAGAGTAAGTCAAGGCACAGCTTTATCCAGCCAGATACCCACTGGGAGATTTTGCAATGATAGTTATGCTAATTTTTCGTCATCCAGTTCGCGTCTTGAATGTGCCCTGCTCTCAAGTTGCGGACAACTTGGACCAGACCCCTGGAAACAGGATTGACATTGGGCCACGGGACGTCATGACCGGATGCAAGTCCTTCACTGTGCTTTCCTACCTTACTTTGCCGTAGAGAAGTCATTCTCCCGGCAATTGCAAAAGTAGATGGTACGAAGTGAGGATGGAGATGTAGTAGATTGGGTCCAACACTCCAATCACGTACATGGGTGTTTGCAAAGTGTTTCTCTTTGTTTGTCTTTGTTCTCTTTAACCAACTTTGTAGTCACTCGTTTAGTTTAGAATTCCGAAAACATCAGGTCATATGCCACTATCTCCTATGGCTCGTTGATATAATGCGGTGATTCCACGGTATTCACGCGCCACTTCCTTGCTAAGGCTAATCACCGCTCACCTGTATTCAGATTCCGATTGGAGTAAGCCGTTTTTCAATCGCTCATTCCGAGCTTGGACAGTCACCTCGACCTGTGTCACAATTAGCGCACTAACTCCCGCGCGCTCTTTTACCACGCCTATTTTCCCCAGACTCACCCCACTGCTCCTTCCACCCATCGCGCAACAAAGTCATCCAAGGAAACAACTACCAAACACCCAAGATGCATCTCATGAATCTTCTGCTCGCGTGCATCTTCGCCCTGTGCGTCATTGCCGCACCCGCGGACTTTACGTTGCACTCTCCGCTCGCGATTCCTGTCCCCGGCTCTGCAACCTACGACGCCGACGTCGCCGCTGTCCTTGCCTACGTCCGTTCCCACAACTCTTCCCCCATCCAGAGATCCGCCACCGATGAGCCAATTACTAGATTATGCGGCATATATACTAGTACTCCAGTCTCCGATCCCATCTACCAGGAAATGCGCGAAGATGGATCGTTCAACTATCGCAGCTTCGATCTAGATGCGGGCTCCACGATCGAGGGCATCCTTAACCGCCACTGTGGATTCTGCATGTACTTTGACGGTAAGTGTGTCCGTTATTCTACTTGCAGTACCTGCGGCGCTCCGAGACTGGACGCTGATTGGCAAGGAAGCAACTGACACGTATCACAGAAGAGGGCGCTCTCATCATGTCCGTAGGCCCCGATCAAGTGAATTGGGCGCATCCTACAACCGCCAAGACCTACATCTGCTGGCGTCCGCCGCTGAGGGGTCACGAAGGTGGTAACTGAAGATGATCAGCGTCGAGGGCGTGCATGTCGACACTGAGGTTCTCGATACTGCTTTTGGGCAGTGTGATTATCAGTCTCACTAACGTGCGTCTTCCTTCTTCTCTTCCACAGAAGTGGAATGTGGCGCGTTAGGACAGTATGCGTTGTGCAGTCCGTCAATATGAAGAATTGACAAGCATAACAATTCAACAGAAATCTGCCGGTGATGGTGATGTGCACTTCACATGCAGCTCAGTTCCAATCACACGTGAACATCTGGGATCTTTGTTCTCCAATAGCTCCTAAAACCCACTCTTCCTCTCTCTTTTTGACCTTCTCTCCCTCTAAAACTACCGATGTCTTCCCAGCCACGACAATACACAAGCGAACAAGTTACGACAAGCTGGTCAAACAAACCACTACACATCAAGCTTGGCATTTCAGAAGCAGAAATGAACGCGCATCTAGCTCTGCAAGCGCGCATGCACGACTACGAGGAACGCGACAAGGAGAAAGCAAACGAACTGGAGCCCGAAGCAGAGCTAGATACAGACTCACATACCAGCGTCGAAGAAGAAAAGCTGGAAGGAAAGAGCGTAGTACATGAAGATGAGACGCACAGTGCAAGCGGCAAGGATGACCGTGCGAGGAAGACTTCTGAAAGAGATGAAACGGTGGTGGTTCTGGGTGGCGGCGGTGACAGAGACATAGTGGTGATAACGATCAGGCATGTGCAGGTCGCTGCGACTACTGGAGAAGGAAGTATATCCAATGGAGATGGCAAAGGAAGTGAGGGCGGGCACACATCGGGCGAGGTATGGACAGAGAGTCCGCATTTTCTTTGGGGGCCTTGAAAGATCATGATTCTTGAATGGTATAACATCAGTATCTCATCATCCCATCCCACAATATCAACGTTATCCAACGACGCTTTGCCTCATGATGACCGCTCTTCTTCAATTACTCCAGAACGCCTTGCTGGGTGGTGATGATACATGAGAGGTGACATGTGGGTGAAGATGCGTATAGTCGTCGGCCACTTCCATCATAGTACTCATCGGGGCCGAATGTGCACGTAGTCCGGAGGTGATGTGGTCAGGCCATTGAAGAGTCATTCTCCCCTTGCAGCGGGACCATGCGATGACCATCGCGAGACCGTCACCTAGTCCAATGAAGCGTAAGCGTCATTCCGTAACCAGCCGCGACTGGAGGCTGATTTCGGATGCTGTCTCACTTCAAGTCGCTTCGGTGCTCGCTTTCTCGGCCTCCACTTCTGTGCTCTGCTCCGTTTCCTCGCTCTTGTTCTCTTTGATTTCTTTTTGAGGCTCCACCTTAGGTTCCGCCTTGGGCTGCGCAACAGTTTTGCTGACTACGAGACCGATGAGATGAGAACCAACGTTGCCAGCACCATCGATAGGCCCGAGTTTCGCATCGAATAGCTTCGCCTCGCGTAGCAATCTGAGTGGTGTCAGCTATCATACACTTCCCGAAATTGACTTTGTCACGTACCGTGCTTTACCACCGGGCGTCTTCACTGCCGCCTCCTTGATGACACCACCGACCTCCTCTCTGTAGCTCTCAAATACAGGTCCCATAATCATGCGGACCTGAATGTCGCTCAAGTACTTGTTAATCACCTTATGCATGGTCACCGTGTCCTTGGTCAAGCTCTCCATGCTGGGGCTGACATCTTTGTTGACTTCAGCCTCAGTATCCCATTCCACTTTCTTGAGGCTGCGCATGTGAACCTTCGCCCTCCCAGCTAAGATGCCTGTGAGCTTTTCGTGGATTTGGTTTTGTTGGTCGTACAACAGGCGCTTGACATTGTCAAACTCGCCGATTGAGGATTTGTTCGAAGCTGATGCAGTACGGCGCCGGAAGCACTCGCGGATGTAAGGTAGGATGGCGACAAGGAAGGAAAGTGTCTGAGAAGCAATGGCGAGATGTTTGGTGTTGATATTCTTCAAGCCAGCTGACTGCATGGCGCCCGCGCCGAGAATCAGTTGACAAAGTCGGGAGTTGAAAAGCTTAATGTAGTCGCAAAGGGAGGTGGAGACTTCCGAAGTCATACTTGGCATCGCGGAAACCAGAATTTCGAAGCGCTCGATACCTCGAAGGACGACTGTAGATGATTCAGAGATGGTGTACTTCTCCTCATCCACAACGGCAGGGATAGTGGTCTTGTTCTTTTCCTTTGGCTTCTCTTCGGATGCGCCGTTGGTTTGTACTAAAGTGCCATTTGTGGTCGGCTTTTCGATCTCTCGAAGAATGTCACCAGTTTCGGCCCAGCTTGGTGGGTCGCTCTCCATTCCCTTCAACAACCGTGCTAGGACCACAGTGTCGCTTGCGTCAAAGTCTTTCGGTTCCCAACGATCTGAATCCATTGCTTTTATCAGTTCTTGTTTCTCGAAGTCTGCAAATTTGGAGACGAAGTCGTTGATGTGGGTGTTCACCACACCCTTAAGTGCAGCACCGGAACGTCCTGAGACAGCTTCACACTCATCCGCAAAAAGCCGACACATGTTGAAGTACCGTAGGAAGCGTTCCAATGGGAGATTAGCTGTAGCTTCTGAGCGAACTTTGAGGAGCTTGGTGATCTGTGTCTGTGCTGCGTCGACAGCCTGGCCTAACAAACTTGACATATCCAGAGCTTGCATAAGTTCCATCTGCAGATCGTTGGAGCTTGGCGCTGGCACGTTATTGCCCACGTAATCATCGATACTGTGCATATACGGACTCCTTGGAGGAGAGCGAAGCCCGCCAGCAGAGGCGGGAGGGGTAGTCACGCCGCTTGTGACATCAAGAAGCACCTTGATCAGTGTGCTTAGACGGCGGAGCGCCTCTCCGATGTTGGTGAAAATATTAGCGAAAAAGACCTCGGCGTCCTCAGGATCCATTGCGCGCAAATTACGCGCAAGGATCGAATTCTTGTCCTGCTGACTAGTTCCTCGACCGCCTCTTGTTGACACAGAAGCCATAGAACCAGTATCGTCTTCTGATGAGCTCGGCAAATGTTTCCGGATGAGAACTTTCATCTCTTTGATCATAGCCTCCCTGAAAGTTGCGCTAGCTTGGTTGGTGAATTGTGCTCCGCTCAGGCCATAGAGACTAGCTCGTAGCTCCGCTCGTAACTTTTCATCTGTCGTCATGTAGGCTGGTAAGGTCGTCTTCGGTTTCTGGTTGGCCCCGCGTGCTTTTTGCGATGCAGCAGTCCATCGTTCCAGGGTATCATGAGCCGGAACTCGCTTGACATGCTCTCGCAGGTCAGTGAGCAGAGTGTCGACAAAGCGTACTTCAAAGCCTCTGCCCACGCGGAACTTGAGCTCGGTAATGTTCTCGAAGACTCCGTCTAGTGCTCTCAAGTGTCGCAAATCGATCAACTGCGGAGGTAATCGTGTGTCAAGCCATGAGGTGCTCTGTGTATCAGTCGTGTCCAGCGCGCCTGTTATCAGTCGTTCGATGACTTCTATCCGGGCCATGGCGGTTTCAAGGTCACCATCGACAACGGCTTCGTCGCAGTGCGAGAGTCCGACGATGACAGCCTGTAACTGGTCGACCGAGTCTGTCAGCCTCCTCAAATTCTCTCTCCGCCTCTTCATTTCGACGACCTTCAAGCCTCCTATTGCCATTTGCTCATCCAGCCTCTTCAAGTCTTCCCTGAGACCTTTGATCCTTGCGACCGAATCTGATGCTTCCGTCTGAAGCTCGCGGAGGGAGCCGAGCGCGGCGAAGAAGGATGTCGATGCGGTGGATATGGCCGAAATCAAGTGCACCTCAACCGTGTCCATGTACCACGACAGCTTCTCTTGTAGAATCGCGTTCGTAGCCAGAGCTTTCCGCCCGGGAGGTTGTGGGACGTCCAGAGAGCCGTTTGCCCCAAAATCATCGTTGCTTGCTGTCCGCGCTGGCCTGACCACCTCGGATCGCTCGCTCACTACGTCAAAGGTTCGCGGGTTTTCTAGGTGGAAGTTCTCGTCGAAGTAGATGTTGGGTATTGTAGATAGCGGCGTGATGGCTGGGAGTGCGCGCTTGGATCCGCTCGTTCGACGCTTCGGTTTCGGTGGCCCGTTGGAAGAGAAGGGCGTGCCTGCTAGATTAGGTGTCCCCGCTGGTGACTCAGTCGCGTCCTCCTTCTTCGACCCTCTCCTTACCGGCTGGGCGGCCTCTGCTTCGGCTTCGGCCTTTGCGCGTTGGAAAGCGTCGTACAGACCGCCGACTTGCGACAGGTATGGGTTGAAGGTGGACGGCTCGATGTGGGGTACATTTGTCAGAGTCACGGGTGGGATGTCTTTCGTGGATGGAGGGCGGTGGCCTGCGGTCGCCGTGGCAGTCGTATGCGGCACCATGCCAGTCCGCATGATGGGCGGCGTGAGCAACGTGGAGATGGCATTGTTGCTCTGCTCTCTCACCGCGCCCATGGTGCTCTTGAAGCCGCTGTCGAGTGCGCCCCCAACCGAGTGTATCGAAGACGCGGTTGAGCCACGTCGCGGCTTGTAGCGCCCGCCCGTGGAGCTGGGCCTGTTTGTCCAGTCATGGTTCGCTGATGGGAACGGGAAGGCGCCCTGCGGCGGGTTCGGCGACAGGAACTCGAAGCTCTCGGTCGATCTCCGTGGGGTATCGGGGGAAGACATGATGGCGGCGCAGGTCGGGGGTGGTGAATAGGCGGCGGCATGGGTGGGCAGGGGGGCACATCTATCGCATGCTGGGAGACGTGTGGACGGGTGTCAAGCTCGGAATCATCAATCAAAGACAGCAAGCAGAAGGCGCAATGGGGAGATTGGTTGTGTCAAGCGTCACCTGAATGTCGTGGCTAGCCAAAGTTCCACGCGCTCGGTGGTGACGGTGCATGGGCCCTGGAGCGGCTTCTGGAAGCTTGACAAGGATCATGCAGCCGAAACACAACCGCCGACGGCTCCACCTACTTCAGACCCTTATGTAAGCCACGCCTCTCTTCCCAACCCATCCGCGTCCCTTACGTCCTTGGGGCACCATTATGCTTTATCCCAGCCTCTCATACACAGCCGTTTTCAACATCGATACTATGCCACCAACCATGCTACCTCCTTCCCCTGCGTCTTGCCTGTCGTCAGCAGGCGGCTTGACAGCATCCCTACTTTCCTCTCCCAATCCATACTTGTCACGCACAGACTTCCAGTCAGTAGGAACAATCAAGTCTCCTCGGCAGAAATGACATCGCATCCGTTTTCTGTCGCTCCGCGCAATCCTGCGCATCTGATCAAGGCACGGCTGGCATAATATATGGCCGCACGGCACGATGATAGCAGGATTGGCCACAGTTTCGAAGCAGACCGGACATTGAAAAGGCTTGCTGGCTGCTGCAAGTCGCTCGAGTGCACTATCGTCGAATTCGCTCTTTGCTGGGTCGAGGTCGAGTCTTCGAAATAGTTCGTGCGTGGCTTCCGAGCGTCTGAACGCATAGCTTGGCTGAGCATAATCGACATCTCGCCTAGCGCTCTCAATAACTCGCCCATCTCCCACCGCGCCTGGATTGCGACTTGCGCGTTCTTGCCTGGTGCTAGAACGCATGGGGCCCTGTAAAGCATTCCATACTGGATGCCGATGGAGAGCGAGTATCACATCAGTCCTTCGTAAATCATCAGGACCAATCGGATCAGGAACCGGTGCATTGGGAAAGTGCGGCAAAGTTTCGTCAGTGTCGATTGTAAGACTTTGTATACGGGGAGGCGTTTGTGCCGATGTTTGCAAAAGGCTCATAGACATGCTGGAGCTTTGCATAGGCCGCATCATGTCTTGAATCTCAGCTTGCGCCGCAGGCGTAAGAGAGATGGATGCAGATCTATGTCTAAATGCCGAGTCCCTGACACGTCTTCTACCGGTGGAGTTGGGTCCCATGTTCGCGAGGTGGTCTGTACTTGGGGTAATGTGGTTGGTACTTGGGGTGATATAGTCGGTTCTTGCGGTGATGGAAAGGAAGATGAATGAAATGGATATCAAGAATAGTGTGCGTGGATGTTATATGAGGCCCGAGTGAGTAGCAAAATTCGTGAGTGCAGGTACCTTGGTTGGCATTCTCGCTTCCCAAAGTTTTTGACGAGACGTAATGTGTGGATTGGAATCACATCAACGTAGACAGATTCGCGAACGCACTAGGTCTACCATTGCGGCTGTGACTCTGGAAGATCCTGTCTTTAGAACCGATCGAAGAAGAGCGAGAGACATCGACATGCGGGGTCCAGTAATATCAAGCAGACTATCATAATCATCTTGATCCAGGCCCATTTCCATAAAATTGCGAAACTGCGCGACAACAACTAGCGATGATTACATGGAGCAGCGAATTCCAGACCATGCTTTCCTAGCTACCCGTTTCGTTGTCTCGGGATGCGGCATGTATCTGTACCTTGACTCCTTCTTTGGCGTAAATGTGCACGATCCCCTCTTGCGAGTCATAATCGAACTGGCCTAAATGGCGGTTGTTCGCTGAACACTGTAAGGGAACCAGTGCTTTTCTCCGCTTCGCATTGGGTGGGCTGATCATGTCCATGAAGCTGCGCCTCTTTCTTGCCGTTGAAAGGCTAGACACCGCACTAGATACGAGTGGTAACGAGCTGGCCGCCGCAGATACCGTCGACATTGGTGTAGGAGGACGTAAGGTATTCAGGCGCCCTATTGTGTCCTCTCTCACAAGAATACGCATTTCGCGAGATGCCCGTGTTCCTTTACCTTGTGTGCTACCACCTGCAGAACCTGGAGAACTTGAAATTGTGGTGCAAGTATGCTGCTGCGTTTCCTGAACTGTAGCGCTATAGGACGTCGCTTCGCGAATGACCTGTGTGGTCGTCGGGTGGTGCGTCACCGGCGACGAGTGAGGTGTAGTTCGCTGAATTGTCTGCTGCGTAGTATCGTCGGTCGTTACAGTCGCTTGGGAACCGCCCATCTCGTTGGTGTACTTCTTGGCCAGCAAAGCAACGTCACGAGCATGCCCATCGAGCTTGTCAGCATCAGGCACCTCCCACTTCTCCTCAGCCATGCGTTCCAAATCTTCCAAAGATACAGCATCTTCCCAAGTTCTGTCATGATGTATCTTCTTGACTCTGGGGTGTCGCAACATTTCGAAGGATTCGTTTTGGAGCTTCTCAAAGCCGCCGCCAAGAATCTCTGCTACGAAAGGCTTCTTGAATGCTGCGGTCATCCGCCAGTCATAGCCTTTGGGATGCTGGATTTCGAACTCAAGGGTCGACCCATTGTCTCGTAGGGTAGACAGGCGGATGTAACCTTGAACGTTCATGTATTTCGCATCGCTCTTTGGTATGCACTTGTCGAGGCTGAGGCTCGCAACGATCTTGAACTTTGGCTTTGCACCCGTGCGTTGTACCGCATCCTTGTTCGTACAACACCCCAAATGGAAATGCGTCCAATGTAAAGGCCTCAAGTCACTCTTTGCCGCGACTTGCGCATCAAAGCTAGCCCCGACCACAGCGAAGTCGCCCAAATCTCTCTCACCACCCATGTCACCGAGGTAATCTTTTTTCAATTTGATAAAGAAACTTGTTTGACGATGCCCTTGCTCTGAGAGAAGTGGGAAGTACGGCGCATGCAACGGCTTGAGAACTAGTCCTTCTTGGTGTTCGGCTAGGTTCCGGGCAAATATCTGTTTAAGGTCTGTTATGCCATCCCCTGTCTTAAAGTCCAAAAGTGTCCACTCCGATCGCATTGACCGACCGGGGATTACATGGACAAGGTTCCTCAAGATCTTGCGACGGTCTTGAAGGCAGTGACGTAGAGTAGATTCGTCATCCAGCACAAGGATGTCGAAAAACACGAGCATGAGATGCTCCCATTCGTGCGGCAGTGAATCTTGAAGCGTGCCGATGAAAGAACCAGAGCGGGTGATGTGCTTCCTGATCTTGGAGAACCCCATTATTTTCTTTTCTTTGTCACTGTAAAGTACCATCTCGCCCAAGATGATGCACTTCTTCTTCAAGACGCAGTCTGGTCGACCGATACGGAGGGCTTCGCGAATCGTAGCATGCAAAGGCTTTCGGTCCGCCGTTGCGTCCTTTCCATTTTTAGAAAAGATGCGGATGTCATTAGGTGCATTGTCCAGGTCAACGTGTATCTCGCAATACTCGCCGTCGTACTTCACTTCGGCAGCCCAAGCGCGCTGACCCACAAGCTGCATGCAGTGCTTGAACGACCAAGCTTTGTGGAACGTCGGTCGCCCCACCTTGATTCCAACAATAGCTCTCAGTTTCTGTGCCGCGTCGACTCGCAAAGATCTTTGCTTTGAGTGCTCTGGTACTGCGGGATAGCAGCTCAGATCGCCTTTGAGCATCTTGAAGACGGCGTCGAAGTCATTTTGGAACATCAACAATTCTGGTAAGAGAAAGTGGTAGCAGTCCAGAACAAACTTCTCATCAAGCTCCACGGTACAATGATCTCGCAGGACGAGACGCACCAACCACTTTGCTTCCCACGACTCGAGTCTCACGAGTATCTCCTTCAGCTCGGCATCGGTCTGGAAATCCGAGTTACGCTTCTTCCTGATGACCTCGTCGGAGAACCGATAGCTCGCTGCTAATTGTTCGAGCAATCGGTCGATTCGTTCGATCGGAAATGCACGTTTGCTGGCGAATGTGCCATCCCAAGGTTTCATTGCTCGTTCGACATACGCCCCAAGGTCACCGTAGTTCCCTGTATGCCAGCCCTCAAATAGAGCTAATTGACCGTGATTGAAGGCAAGTAGACTTGCAAGTTTCTTTGCAAGTAATGGCGATTGCATTCCATAGACTCGATCTTTCCTTCGATGTGGAAAGAGAGCAGACAAGACGGCGCCCCCGTTTGTATCGGGATCATCTAGGGCTTCTCTCTGCTCGAGAAACCACTGCGAGATTGTCTCGCGTATAGGGTATTTCTCTTGCTTGGCAAGTAACCGTGGTCGTCGTGTCGTGATGGTCTCGACGTTTTGTAGGAGACTGCAAATGGCGCCGAAGGTGACGGTCATTGTAGGCGTGCCGATGTACGTAAACCGGGGATTATCGTATCGTGCTGGGCCTGCTAGGGCTGTTTATGCTTGAACTGAGTATGCGACATGCCAAAGGCAGTAGCAAGTGCTGTGCCTGCGTCCAACAGCACCTGGTGGATATCGTGAACGGTGCCGCCAATCTATGATATAAAGGTATCAATGTTCGAGCGTGAAAAGGCTCGATAGAGTTGTGCGGAATACCGTCGGTGTACGCAGAGCAGGCGGACAATTGGTCGATGCGCACGTTTGAGGCCTCAATATCCTCATCATAGTCGCAAGAACGTTGCCGAGCCTTTGACGTCGAAGGGGCACTTGGGGTTTGTTATTAGATACAAATCGAGGAATTCAACAATGGCGTCTTTAGGTCTATAAGAAGAACATAAGTAAATTGATGATGCGGATCAATAGAAGGCTTGGTCGCGTCCCAACAAAGTCACGATGAATGGAAAGAGGGGCTCTTGGACGCGCACGCGCTTCCTAACGCGCTAATGTAAATCATCACGGGAACACGCGCATACTAGGCTGTATTCGGACAGCGAGGGAATTCGGCCCATCTGCTTCGAGCTGCCGACGAGCTATCTTCCGACTATGTCATCAATTCATATAACTATGGCGAGCATACATTTAACAGCAGAATTTTAGAACGTGAGGTTGAGCAGGTTCCTGTTCTCACAGACGGCATTCGATGGGCCCGAGTAAGCGGTTAGCGTATACGTCATGACCCGCCCGTCGTTTGATCCTCCATCAGATATTGATCAGCTCGCGCTTTCGAGTGACCGAGCGCGCATCAACTGGCCGAGGAGACAGCATATATTTATTTGGCGGGGTTGGACTACAGAATTACCGTCAATTGCACTTCAAGTCTTCGAGCTGGACACAGCAGTAGCCAGGTAACCCCGCTCTAGCCGGCCTTGCGACGACAGTACTAACGTTGACAGTACTACGTAGACAATTGGCACAATGGCGCCAGGCCAAGGCCAGAAAGGCAACCCGAACGATCCTCGATCAGAAGAATCGAAGAAGAAGGATTTGATTGCACGCGGCGATTACACACCCACACCAGCTGGCAAAGTAACCTTCTTCCTCCTACGCGGCATCGAGCCTGTCCTTCAATATTCAATCCTCGCGCATGGCCTCGGCACATCTGTCCTACATCGCGTAGGACTGCGAACACTACCTCCCGGATTGCCAACGCATACAGGCATATCTCTGATCGATGGCTTGGGCCTGTCACCATACCGATTGGTATTGCTTGGAATGGCGGTTGGCGCAGCTGTGAAGCAGAACATCTGGGTAACAGCACTTTCCGGAGAGCCAATGCCAGTCAACGGCGCCATCGCGGTGGGTCTGTTCAACGCTGTCTTTAACAGTCTGAGCACCTACGCCTTCCTCACATCAGCTACCTCCGCCTCGACCGAAGCCACTTTCCCACAACCCGCGCTCCTCGTCGGCAGCTCGCTATACGTCGTAGGCATCGTGACGGAACTTGTCGCAGAAATACAACGCAAGCGCTTCAAGGCGGACCCCAACAACAAAGGCAAAGCTTACACGGGAGGTCTTTGGAGCTTCGCGCGCCACATCAACTACGGTGGCTACACAATCTGGCGAGCGGGTTATGCCATGGTCGGAGGAGGATACACGTTGGGTGCGTTAGTAGGAGCCTTCTTCGCGTGGGATTTCACACAGCGGGCAATCCCGATACTTAACGAGTATTGCGAGAAGCGCTATGGTGCGCAATGGGAGGACTTCAAGCAGAAGACTCCGTACCAGCTGATTCCCTACGTCTACTAGATCTGAGCGAGCGATAGTATATAATCTAGTGGGGTCACGATAGGGAGAACCGAGGCGCATGTACAATGTTATCTCCGGACGAGCTATGCAAGCTCCATCTCATTCGATGCCCCACCTCATTCGATACCCATGTACTGCGAGAATGCACGACTTGTGCATGCACAATTTTGGTCGTACGATGCTGTTGTCTGAGATATCGGAGGACCCCTCATGCAGTCGGCAATGTTCATCACACCAAGGACCACGAGTTATCGTACCGATGACAGCGGCACAAGACCGACACTAAGGCCCAAATGCCGGACCAGCTGCCCCCCGAGCGCAAGCCTATTGCCCAAAGTAGCCTTCACGATAACAATTACCCCGTCTGGAGATACGACACCCAGTCGTCGTAGCACGATGCAGGTGCGATTCTCGTCAGCACGGCAGAAACCGAGCCTTGTGCTGCGTTCGTGCTGTTGTGGCCAAGGGGCATTACTCGTACACAAGCCGCTAAAGAAAATGAGCGTGAAAATGATGGTGTGCGATCTGGCATGCAGGTGAGAGATCTGCGGACGTTGTGTAACCCTCCAAACCAAAGGCTTGGGTTTTACTGGCATTGTGGACTGTGATGGTGTGTAGAAAAGGTGGGTAGATACGAATCATGTGCCGTCAATGTATTGGACTTTGCGCCTCCGGATTGAAGATGCTTGGTAGCGGGTCGTCGGCCTATTAGGCGTGCAACATCACAATGGCAGCCGGAACAAAAGCCTCATCGAAGCTGAGGCAAGGTCGACAACGCTCGACATCTGTTCGGAGAGTTGAGGTTGGCGATAACGACATGCGACCGAACGCGGGGTGACAAAGACCCGAGGGCACAATCAAGCAATGATCTACAATTCAGCTCTTCAGGGTCCTTTTCCGTGGCGGCGTTCGCAGCACGATGTCGCTCAAGGATGCCGCTACGCGATGCTACGCCACAAACGCAGAGTCTGGTACACTTGCGCTTTGTACGGGCTGTTCTCCAATTTTCCTTCTATGAATACCCACCGAAAGGCTCGTATCTCCACAGAAAGTGATTATTGATGGGTATCATCAGAGACGCAGGCTGGTATTGACGATGACGGTCAGGAGGTGGCAATACCTATTACTAGAAGATTCTCGGCGAAGGCCGAAGCGGATCTGCCGGGCAGAATTGACCGAAGACGGCGATGGTGGTGATGCGAAAAAAGAGCCTCAACATTTTTCGGATAGTCGCAAAGATCACGATCTGGAGGAGCTCGGCTGGCGTTGCAGCATGTCCCATGGTTGAGCGCGCAGTGCTAGAGAGCGGGGAACGGCTGAAGGTGCATCGATGTGCATGCAACCCCACTCTGGGATATAGTATAGACAAAAGTAGCGGATGAGCAAGGCCTGCGAGCGGGCTGTTCAACACATCACGTTAGATGAAACGGTATCAGGGCCTTGGTTGTATCCCGGTCAGATGTGCGCTGGGGTGAGGTCTCGCGATGATGGCACCGGCAGTCTGCTGGCGACGGGTGCGGGCGACAATTAGACAGTGCTCGCGGTCATGGCTTCAGAGGCAAGATGGCGGCACAGGGCACGCCTGCCTGAGGATGAAACACTATAGCCGGTGTCACGAGCGATGTGTCAGACGTAGCACTCGCAGCTCGTAAAAAGTGAGGTTCAAAAAGAAAGGCGGGATGCAACCAGAGGCGATCATGCACAGCTAACTGGGGCCTGCAGGCCGCGATGCTCGAGCCACGTTTGCCGATGATTCGACGCGGAGAGGAGCAGCTCGGCAGCGCGCGGGATTCGTGAAGTTGGCGACATGTATGCAGCAGCGCAGCCGGGATGCTCGGGGTGCAAGGCTCAAGGTAGTAGTCGGGAGCCGTATACGGACGCGACTCCGCCTGGCTGGGGCGGCTGTTTTGACTTGAGGGGCCTCTCGCGCGCGACGGATTCAGGTTTTGTGGCGTTAGCAGAGCCTACTATGGACGTGCTGGATCGCGTCTGGGAGATGGCATAGTAGCAAAGCGCCATGGCGACGCTGCAGAGGAGGCCTTTCGTCATTGACACTTGCGCGGTGGAGACGTGGTTCCCAGGCGTCGGCTCACCCATTTCTAGCGCGATCGCCCTCAACGGCAAGCACGGAGAGTACCCAAGATACTAAGATACAAGACACGGCCGCTTCCTCTTGCGGGCGCACTCGTCCCGATTCTGCTGCCATCAGTCTGACTGCTCCATACACGCGCCCTTCCCTTTGTTCCCCACCGGCCTGCCCACAGTGCCGACGTTTCTTTTTGTACTTCCCTATTCAAAAGCTGCGTGTGCCGCTGCTGCACTCTCGGGTGGGCTAGTTCGCGACCTCGCCGCCGCATCCATCTGTAAGTCAGCAATTCGCGCGCCTCGACGCCATGCAGGTGCTACGCTTGATCCTCGCAGCCCAGCTGGCGTCTACCCGTCTTCCCTAACTCTCAAACCGCGCGTGTTGACCTGTTCTTTCTTTAGAGTAAGCTTTTCTAGCGTCTCTGGCTGGACTGGACCATTGCTATTAAGGACCCTTTCCGCCCACGACTCGACACGCCTGCCAGAGCACCACAAATCTTCGCACATCATCCCTCCAATCTCGACTCCTCCCGCCGGGCCTCGACTGCCCTGCCGCCGTTGCCGCTTTCGCTTGCTCCGTGTGCCGTCTGCATATCATCAGCATCACCAATTCCTGTGGCCATTACCTTACATCAGCCCATACCCGGAAGCAGTGGGAGTCAGTGCATTGCATCAGTCGCAGCGCCGCAGCACAACTTCTCCACCGACCCCCCTTCACTGCCCACCAAGAATTTGCTAGTTTGCCCAAAAAGAACGTCATTGTCTGTTCTTTAACGCTGTCGGTCCGACGTCAGCGCGCTGATCTGTGTTTCACTCCGTGAGTCGTGACGCGAAGAAAGCAGAGCCATTCATCATGCAGGCTGTCATGGCGCAACCCCCGCAAACCTCTGCCTACGGGGCTGTTCCTCTCCGCCGTAAACCCATAGCAAACCCCGGCATATCGGTGCGACCCCCGCAACACCAATACCACAACGACGGTCAACTAGGACATTCACGAACGCGCACTACGAGCTCAGGCATCTTCCCCGCCCAGTCACCCACCGCAAGCACCATGAACTCGCAATACCCTACCCAGTACCAGAGCAGTCTCCGCCGAACCCCGACCTCGTCAACGAGCTCTACCACTGGCACGCCGAACCGCTCCAACAGTGGCGCCCTCCGTCGCTCCTCGTCCACCCGCTCCGGCGGCAATTCGCCCACCTCGTACGTTGCACTCATGCGGAAACAAAAGGCTACTGTGTGGTGTGACCGGGCCCAATACGAAGACCCCCGCATGCTTGCACAGCAACGGCAGGCTAAGATGCGGGCAAACATGGAGGTAGCAGGCGGACCCCACCACGTCCCCCCGCGAAGTGCTTCAGGAGGATCTAGCATGACCGGCGGTGTGCGGTCCAAGATTGGGCGTCACCACGGTCTGCCAAAAGCATCGCTATATGCACCTGTCACGTATGCAGGGTCTGGTGTTCCTATGCGCCTCAGTGCTTCCGAGGTGGACGAGGGCGACGACGAAGACGCAGGCTCAGTCAAGAATGGCCAGTACCACCACCGCACAGGTTCAGGCCGTTCCTCGCTCGGTTCAGGACGACGCATGTCTTACGCCAACCCCACCGGCCGCATATCCTCTAACAGCACTCCCCCGCTGAACTCATCCCCGGACGGCGAGCTCGCCGACCTCAAAGAAGAGCCCACCCCTTCACCAGCCGAATACGACGTCAACGCGCCCAATGACAACAGCTACTTCCAACATACCAAGACCAACACAAGCACAGGCAGTGGCAGTAGTGGGGAACGCAACTTTGGCGATGTGGGGCAAATGCCAGCGCCTGGAATGTTGAAGCCACCCGCTGCAACAGATAAGAAGGGCAGTAAGGATGACCTGGTTCGAAGAGGCAGTGTGGACGAGCGGACCATGACCATGGGGACGAGGCTCTTCGTCGCAAACCCCGATCTTAGCGATTGAAATCACGCATACCCAACAAGCGCGTATGGATGAGAGGTTACCTTTTCTGCGATACCCGAAACAACGATTTTATTTTGCCACTACCACCACAGCACACGATTACCACATACACAAGACCACGATTCACCACTTTCTCTTTTTACCTCTCGAAGCATGTTTAGCATTTCACGGCCTTGTCTATGGCACGTTTCCAAGAGCAACTACACGGTGTTTTCTTGTTTGGAAGGCACACGCATTTTTCCATATGTTGCTCATGTCTCTTTTTTCTTGGCGGATTCCTCAGTCTTGAGCGTGCAGAGCGATTGCCCTGGCGGCTCTCGCTAGTTCGATACTCGACATGTAGTATCTGTAAATACGTACCACATCATACCCGCCGCCAACTGAATGCGAGCATTGAATACAAGCACGAGTAATCGTTCATCCCCAAGTTCACAATGAATCCATGCCTACATCGCTTTCACAACACCTCGCGATTTCGTCACTCATGCTGATCTTCATTTCCCTTCAGCATGTATGCCTCTCAGACGCAAGTCCACGTATGCGATCAATGAAGTCATGGCTCCATCAAGCTCATCGTCGATGCAGAACTTCGGCCTCGGATCCTCCCTCATCCCGCGATGCGACGATTGGCGATCTGTGCGTCACGTTGCGCACGTAACTTTGAAAGGGGGCGGGAATGTAAGCCTTGCGTGAGCCGAGTGGTCAGCTTTTTGTCGATCGCGCGCTTCGCCGCGGGAGTGCCTGCCAAGACTGCCGTGCGGCTGTTGAGTCAGGAGCGACAAAGGGCAAGTGGCTGCATGTGTGATGGGGATGATGGTAGATCGGGAGCGCGCGCGAGTTTCGAAGAAGTAGGGGATGCTGGGACAGTCGTCGACGTGCGTCTTTGCAGTGGCTTCAAGGTTTGGTCGATGGACGTGGCAGGGATGTGAGGACCCGCGTTCAGGGTCTATGGAATTGTTGAAGCAGAAAGTTTGCGAATGCGAACTACACATCGCATTCACACAGTCTGAATGTAAATGTCTACTAGTTCATGGGAGTAAAGTTGATCTGCGCTGCACATCCACACTCCCTTTCACGTCCCAAGGTTGATTGGCAAGAACGCGCTTGCCTCTACTCATGCATGCTTGCCAAGACGTCCGACCCGGAGTGCTCGACCCCAGCAAGAGGCCAAGTCACCCCCATCACGCCTTCCCGGTACGAGTGGAGGGGTGTAGGACAACACTGAAGACTTCGCAGACCAGGAATCCATCATGTCGCATGTTAATGGCACGACTAACGGCGCAGCAAAGCGCAGCGGGAGCCAGAAGATACTGAACGACGCGGTGGGCGTGATCAAGAGCCACGAGGGAGATGAAAAGACAGATTACACAAGATGGAGGCTCAAGGACGACCGAGGATGTCAGACATGGCACTATCTGCAAAGCGACGAGGAAATGAAGTCGTGGCCGCAGAGTACAGCGGACAAGTACTTCCTAGGCCTCGACACGGTGCGTGTGCACCTCTTCTAACCGTGTAGACACCAATAACTGACGTTGACCTTAGGAACAACCAGCCCTTGCACCGGCACAGACACCCCTTGAAGCTGCGCACAATGGCCTCACGTTCTTCTCCCAACTCCAACTCCCACCTGGCAACTGGGCTTGCGAATACGGCGGTCCCATGTTCCTCCTCCCCGGCCTCGTAGTCACTTGGTATGTCACCGAGACACCAATACCAGCGTCGCATGCGATCGAGATCAAGAACTACCTCTTTGCCCGCGCGAATCCAGAAGACGGTGGCTGGGGACTACATATCGAGGGAGAGAGTACCGTGTTTGGTACGGCAATGAACTATACCGTCCTCAGGCTGCTTGGCGTCGACGCAGAAGACCCCAGAATGCGGAAGGCGCGGGACACACTTTGGAAGCTAGGTGGCGCGCTCAACGGTCCGCATTGGGCAAAGTTTTGGTTGAGCGTGTTGGGTGTGACGGAATGGGACGTTGTTAATCCCTGTCCACCTGAGCTGTGGCTGCTGCCAGACTGGGTCCCTATCGCGCCGTGGAGGTGGTGGATACATATGCGACAGGTCTTCCTGCCCATGTCCTACATCTACTCCAAGAAGTGGTCATACCCGCTTAATGACCTTACACGTCAACTGCGGGCCGAACTGTTGATGGAGCCATTTGAGAACATCAACTTTGGCGCACGGCGGAATACCATTGCCCCGACGGACAACTACCATGCGAAATCTTGGATGCTCAAGGTCCTCTTTTGGTTCATGGCCGCTATATGGTTCCCATACATCAGGCCCACTTGGATGGTGAAGCGGGCTGAAGAGCATGTATGGTGGCTGATCGAAGCCGAGGATGAGAACACCGACTTCGCCAATCTGGGTCCTGTCAACGGTCCTATGAACATGTTGGCTGCTTATATTAAAGAAGGACCCAAGTCTCATGCTGTTCGCGAGCATCTCAAGACACTTCCGGAGTTCCTCTGGGTAAAGGATGAAGGCATGCTTATGAACGGTACAAACGGTGTACAAACGTGGGACACCGCGTTCCTCATCCAAGCTGTTGACTCTTGCGGCTGGTCAAAGGATACGAAATGGAAGCATATGCTCACGAAGAGTCTTGAGTTCCTAGAAGACCAGCAGATTCTTGAGGAAACCAGGGACCAGCACGCATGCTACCGTCAACAACGCAAAGGTGCTTGGGGCTTCAGTACACGAAAGCAGGGCTACACAGTCAGCGACTGCACATCCGAAGGTCTCAAGAGCACACTTATCCTCCAGAGGGATAACGCATTCCCTGAACTTATCAACGAACGCCGCGTGAAAGATGCCATCGACGTCCTGCTGACTATGCAGAACGCTTCTGGTGGCTGTGCTTCTTATGAGCCGACACGGGGTAGCGTACTCCTTGAACATCTTAACGCAGCAGAAGTCTTCGGTAACATTATGATCGAGTATGACTACCCTGAATGCACAACCGCTGTCGTGACCGCCCTCGACATGTTCCAACATCATTACCCCGATTACCGTGCCGCGGAAATCTCTGCCTTCCGCGACCGCGCGGTGGCATACATTCGCGCCGCCCAACGCCCAGATGGATCTTGGTACGGCAGCTGGGGTATCTGTTTTACCTATGCCGGCATGTTTGCTCTTGAGTCACTCAAGTGCTCTGGAGAGCAGTACAGCAACTCTGAACGTGTGAGAAGGGCGTGTCAGTTCTTCCTAGACAAGCAAATGGAAGATGGAGGCTGGGGCGAGACGTACAAGAGCTGTGAAACCGGTGTCTGGCAGCAGCATCCGCGCAGTCAGGTTGTGCAGACTGCTTGGGTGGTCATCGCAATGATTGAGGGCGGGTTCCCACACAAAGAGCCGCTCGAGAGGGCTGTCAAGCTCATCATGCAGAGGCAGCAAGCCAACGGAGAGTGGTTGCAGGAGGCTATTGAGGGAGTGTTCAACAAGTCTTGGTAAGTTCACGCATTATTGATTGATGATGAATGGTGGCTAACATAAGAACAGTATGATCTCCTATCCGAACTACAAGTTCATCTTCCCGATCAAGGCGCTGGGCATGTATGCAAAGCACTTTGGCGACGACGCGGTGCTTTAAATTAGTTTCCACGGATCCAGCTCTACAGTTGGTAATCTTGGGGGTGAGAATAGTTGCGGGTGGGCGAAGTTGCATACACCAACTCGATAATACTAATACAACGATCAAGCTCCTGTACTTGCAAGGGGCATACAAACTAATTTGCGACATGACTCCAGTGTTATCACAATACTTACCATGCTAACATTGTCCTTTTCATGAGCTCGATCATCATGCGGTACTGCAGCCTCTTCGAAACTGACGCATCTCTTACGACAAACAATAGCTGGGTTTCGCTTGAGACCATACTTTGCGCATACAAAGATCAGTTTTTGGTGTTTCCCTCTATGCCCACAAACAAGACTACATCGCTACGACTAGCCGCTCTGAGCGCGCCAACAACAAACCGATTGGTACCTATTGCTACCAGAACTATGAGTATAAGTACATCTATAAATCCCGTCTGAAAGACCTTTAGAAGCACTGCGAATAGCTCAGCCTTGTACTCATCAGATGGATCGAACGCACACCAATCGGCAAGACGGCGGTGATGGCCTCCCACCTAGCCGAACAGAAGACAACGATCCTGTCGACGAGGGCGAAGACCACTCCAGTACTCCAGCCCGTCGAGGAGGCGGCCCCGATCGCGCTGGTCGAATGAACACAATCTCAGAAGAACCACCTTTGACTGGCCACGACCAAGGACAAGACACGGCCAACACCGCAGAAACAACGCCATCCCGCCTCGCGCGTAGAGCTGCCGAAATCCGCGATTTCAACCGCCGACGCAGGGCGCATGGTTAGACAAACTCGGACACTTCTGGAAACACGCCTTACACGCAGGGGGTTGGCCGTCCATTCGAGAGAACTGAGAGTTCCCTTGACCCTAGCATGAATCGTGCGCGTTCTAATGCGATATGCCCTGATTTTTCACCGAGGCCGGAAGACGTGGAGAGACACAGAGCGAACTTGGAGAGAAGGGCATGGATTGCCGCTGGTAGAAACTCTGGGCCGGTGGAAGAGAGGGAGAGGATCGGGTTCAACAGGCGCCCGACAACTTATCAATTTCGGGCTCATGAGGGATTTCCTCCCAACGGCACGGGGACGCGAGGATTATATGCTGGACGATACCCCATCCCATATGTGAATCCAGCTACTGGAGGAGCGGTTGCGGGAACGGGCGGTTACAGACCATTTGGCAGCGATAACTTCCAAAGCAGCGTTCCAGACCAGTCATCTTCTCGCGACGATGCTAGAAGCGCCGCTGTCTACGACCCTGGCAGCTTTGAGGATACGGATCAATTCTACGTCGAGCCGGCTCCTAAGCCCGAGGATGTCAATCCTAAGGCTGTGGCGTCCCAGCCGGAGGGTAAACCTGGGGGTAACCCCAACCTTTCAAAGCGTAAGGATGAACCGGGTGATGGGC